TGCTGTACTTTATTGTCAACAACTATATACAATTTAATCATTATCTAAACTCATCATTTGCTCATTAGGAGTTTCAGAGCCAAGCAAATTAGAACAGTGCAGTCACTGAAGCAGACATGTACATTTCTGTCAAATACAAAAATAAAAGCCTCGTTGCTTTTCATGCTTTTAATTCCTTATTTAATGAATGATTTATTTTCGAAAAGAACGTCAAACATAGATAAAATGTAAAATTATGTAATTATGTGTTTAAACCGGATGTGACCTTGAGAGGTCATACCGGTGTTATGTTGCCGCAGAAATTCTGCTCACGTCCTTTGCGCTTATGACTGATAACCGAACGTATTTCGTATAAATACGCGGATATTATCGAGTGCAAAATAACATTCCTTATCGCTGGTTATAAATTCATTTCTTCAATGAATACTCATGAAAATATTTTTTAAGAACATAAATAAATAATATGAAAATGTTTTGTTGTGAGAAATATATATATATAAGTAAAAAAATCATTAATATCTATGCACACGTACCGAAAAATTGTATTTGCGGATGAATATCTCGAAAACGCATTCCAACAACAGCGTGAAAATATTTTTTAAGAACATAGATAAATGATATGAAAAAGTTTTGTCGTGAGAAATATATATATCAGTAACAAATCATGAATACCGAAAATTTGTGTTAACGCATGTGGAAGAATATCTCGAGAGATGATTTGCTATATATATAACTATTATACAAATATTAATATAATATATAACAACAAACCAGATTATACTGATAACAAATGATTATATCACTACAATATAATAATTATTACGGTGAGGTTGAATTCCCTGTCATTTAGTCATCATCCATACAGGAACTTGTCTCAGAAAAAAAATATCTATGTACCTTAACCTAACTTTCAGGTAAAGAGATATGATTTTTTTCTGAGACAAGTGCCTGTGACCATCCACCATAACTTGCTGTCATCCGATGTTCAGTACTTTGATTATTATACCTAGAGTTGGAATATATTGCATTGACCTGGTTTGTCTGTGGGTTTGTCCGTTCGTCCAATAAATATTTCCGTCACAGTTTTTCGTGTATGTTGATATATCCTTATATTAACTTCCACACATATTATTAAACAATTTCATTTGTTCAGAAAGAGATGCCCTGAACACACTGCTGAATGCCTTGAGCAGACTCGACACCCCCTGCAGACCAATTTTGTGTTAAGCCACCAATAAAGTCTGCCTTTAATAAATTTGTTCTGCCATTTTTGTACTTATTAATTGTGAAGTAATTGCAGGTCTCCCAATTTATGCAAGGTATAACAAATTGACAAATAATTACATGTAGATGACCATTAGTCCAAAAGAAGGCGTCACAGCAAAAAAATTAAATTAGCTTATTAATTGTGAAGTAATTGCAGGTCTCACCATTTATGCAAGGTATAACAAATTGACAAATAATTAGATGACCATTAGTCCAAAGGAAGGCGTCACAGAAAAAAAAAATAGCATTTCAACATGTTCAAGACGTCATAACTATTTGGCCTAGATGACCATCTGATATTTTGGGGGGGGGCCAGAAGGAAATTTTGCAGATTGACTATTCACTTTCATCTGTTGCTATACGCATGTTTATTTTATTTAGTGGATACGATATTCATTTTCAAAATCCTCCTCCTCAAAATCAAATGGTAATCCCCTTTCCTTTCAACTTTATACCTACATGTACTACCTCTGTACCTTTGTCTTCAGGTCTAATCCTTTTGCCCCCTGTTTTTGTTGCTCTCAAGCACATATATTAAGTTAAGCTTCTGCAGACCCCTCATATGGGATCTGGGAAATGTCCTACTATAGTGAGAATTTCTCCTCACAATTGATAGGGATTTTTGTTTGGGGGTTCAAACTTTTTAAACAGTATGTTCTAAGGGAGGTCATTATCATGTATGTCGTTCATAAAGTTAGGGGGGTGGGGGGTGCCAACAAACTTTTGTTATCATTATTTATGGTCAGATCATATGTTTTCGTACGTCATATGAATTCGTACTATGCATGTTTTTTCAATGGAAATTGTGACGTCACAATGCATTCTTAATAGCACGAAAACCCATGAGACGAGGATAAATCCGACTTAAGGTAGCTGGGGTGTCTTCCTCCATCTTCGATTTTGAAATAGCAGATAGCAATCGGTCTAGATCTTTAATGAAATGTGCAAATTTCGAGAGTAGTATGTAATTCATGTGTAAGACTAGTCATGTTAATATAGAAAATTATGTGTTTTATCATATTTTCGGCTGTATTTTACAAAAAACAGAATATTTTTGTTTGAATCACTTTTTTCCAAATTTGCCACATAAGGGTAGATAACTCAGATATAAGGGGACATAACTCAGATAAAGTAACTTTTATAATATAATGTGTTGTGAAGTTACCCATTTTATTATGTACCAAGAAAACGAGTCCGGTGACCCCATTTTTTCTTTTTCTTATCTAAAAGCATATTATTACAGCTATCTTCTCATATTTTATCTTAAAATTCTATGGTGTAGTTTTCTTTTTATCACACAAAATTGGATTTTCCATGCATAATCTATACAAAATGTGACAAATTTGCACAACCTGTAGCGTGTTAAAAAGCCCAGTGACCCATACTTTTGAATATATTTTTGAAAAAAGCATGACATAAACTACATTTTGACAAATTATTAAAAAATTCCATGGATTTTAATTTAGATCTACCTTAAAACATATCAAAAAGTCACCAGGTCACTGTTAAACAGTTAAATCTGACAGCCGGACAGGTTATTCCACTGGTCGGTCCACTGAGACACGACTTCACTGACGGCTAGAAATGTTTGCATATGTACTAATTCTTACCTTTTCTTTGATGCAAAATATCCAAAAGAAATGATAAAATGTCTAGCTGAGATACGATGGCCCAATTTTGAGCCTCCAATTTTGGGAGAAAATAAATAGACAACTCCATCAAATTTCACGGAGCTGAATTTCCGGATTATTTAAATCGAACGTTCCGGAAAATTTCTCAGGTGTCCCACACAAAGCAACGGTGTAAAGTTAAAAACATCAGTTCAGCGATACAGGCCTAATTTATATGTATGATTATGTGTTTCGTGTCAACCCCTATAACAAATTAAGTTTTCAAATAAAACACTTCCGCCCGCCATGAGCCAGTAAATTTTCTTTTTGTTATAAGAGTAGTTAACTAAGTTATAACATACTAGTATTAATACGCGCATCTGAATGTAAGTATGTAACAATGTACAAACTTTCAAGAACATTTAATGAAGCCTGTAGGAGAAGTTGAGTCCACGAAGTGGATCCCGAACAGTATAGAAGTTCAGGGTGGATAATTTCCAAAATACTTACTGGAGAAAAAACTTCATGATGCAAAATTGACACACTGTTTATTGCACAAAGTTTGGTTGAAATTGGACAATTGACTCAAAAGTTAAGTCGTACAGATGGGCAAACAGTCAGGCTTATTTCTATATACCACCAAAACTTTGTTTGATATTGAAATGTAAAAATTTGGTCTTTACCATTGCATGAAGCATGACACAATCTCTACATTTTACCAACTATGTTCGAATCACCGCCCAGGATTTTCATTTAAGATACTGAATACACTCGGCACGATGGCATCTCCATATCTTACATATGGGGGCATGATTGGTTGCTCTATGGATAGAGTTACTGATCGCCCTCCAGATTTATCTCATTGTTGTGTAACGTGTAACCAGTAAGGCGTTAATATCTTAAACGAACGTTCCAGTAAATACTTGGATTCAAGCTGTCCATAAACAATACGGCAATACCAAAAACCTATAACTATATATATATATATATATATATATATATATCTATGATATGTACAACGAACTAAAATGTACACAACACTGACTCTGTCGATATAAAGTAACAATGAACAATAATACATACAAGTATTATACAATCTAACAGCCTGCCCTCCAGATGGGACGGTCTGTCACTACAAGACAGTGCGGGCTGGTATAACCTGTCCTCCGAGTGGGACAGTCTGTCAGTTCCAGACAGTGCGGGCTGGTACAGTCTGATCTGTCCATTCGATCAACTTGTACGTTCACTTTGTACTGGTGTCCTCCGAATATTATAGCTCTTCTAGCACTTAATATAACCGCCGTACGCTTTGTTGATTTATGAACATTGACAGCTCATTGACAGCCCCGAGTGGCGTTCTCGTTCACTTATACACACAAGGGCGAATACAATATTTCCTGGATAGGCGTGTTCCCCTAACTGAACACGAGAATCCCTCAAAAACACTCCTATAACCTTTGACCCGGCCACTAACTTTCCCGCCAAACGTCTATTTCTGCGTAACGCTTTCTCAAGCATGTATCTTTAAACAATAAGATTCTTCGTATTTGTAACCTTAGCGATCAATAAACATTGCAGTTGCAAGGAGAACGCAGTTGTTCCATCGAACATTCGTACTGAATATGATTGAATTAATATCGTTGAACGTTAAGCAAAACAAAAAAAAAACAACGAACCAATCATCGAACGTAAAAGTCATGTTTTGCCTTTTAAGATAAGTATAAGCAGTATAAAAACATCACTGAAATTATTAAATGCCACAGAAAAAAGCAACAGTTGCAAAAGGTACTCTATGTCTTTGGTTTGACAATATGTGAAACCCCTTTCATTTAAGCCATATGACTGAAGATCCTGAATGCGATTACATGTCAGATTCAAAAAGTACGCACATAAAGCTGACATACTGTAAATAGGAGTATAGATTTAAGGACTATTTGAAAAAAAATAGTCTTCTAATGAAATCATAATGGGGATTGGTCAAGACTCTTACGTAAAACGTAGATGTGCCTAATACTTGGGTTGTTTTCGTTTTAGTTTGACCACTAGTGTTTCTGTTTTCTGATGTTAATTTATCTTTGCACTGACATATACCAAGTCTTTACTATTATATCTTTATCATTTTAGGTACACTTTGTCTTAAAGAATCTGTTCAAGTTTTGAACAAATGTTACTGGTTGACGCAAACAAACGGGTCATGGTATATGGGAAATTCAACTTGTTTTATAGATGGCGGCCAACCGTCTTCATTTAATGATACTGACACATATAAAGCCGTTATCAATGGTGTTGGTATAAATGGAAGGTACACATACTAAAATATATATAAAAACGTTTCCAGTGAAATTTTTATTATTTTGAAAAAATAATTGTACTAATGGAAATACATAAGATGCTGGAAATCTCTTTGACAAGATAATGTATCACTTCTTCATATGGATACTCTTCTATCACATTTAGTATTCAAATTTTGCCGAGAAAAACAGTGATAATATAAATCAATATACATCATGGTCTTTTTAGTAATTAAAGGAAACATTTACTTTGCTGCACACCTTCACATTCATCCTGTGTTATTATGAGATTCTGAGAGAATAGGAACAGTAGAACAATGATTTTTATCTTGCATTTTTGTCATGTTTGATATCCTTTAAAAGCTTTAAATATAGTATAATATGAGGAATTCAGATCGGTTCCCAAGAGCTTAATGTTGCCCTTCGTCGTGGGATAATTTATATAATTCCAGATACTGAGAATTCTAATTGGTTGAAGACCCTGGTCTAATAACATTCGGTGTTTATACCTCGAGCAAATCTGAACTCACGATCAACAGAAAACATTTTTTCAAAGCCTTGCACACAAATTAATAAAAAATGTTGCCAGTGGAACCTTTTTTGAGCATTAAAACAAAGATACGAAAAATAGTCAAGAAGATTGAAGACCCATTGGTGGCCTTCGGCTGTTGTCTGCTCTTTGGTAGGGTTGTTGTCTCTTTGACATATTCCCCATTTCCATTCTCAATTCTATTTTTAAGATTGTCTCATAAAAAGAACATAGATTCGGTGGATACAAGTTTAATAAAAACCCACAAGATGTAAATTTACCTCGGTCTGTGTAATTATAATATTTTCCACTTCTACTTGTTGACAAGAGTGTCCTTCTACGTCGTTCCTTTTTCGATGGTTATTTTTTTATTTCATTTTTTCCACTTCCATTACAATGATATGCTAATAATAAACATTCTATATCCGTCAATGTTTTAATTAGATTACCACAGTTTGATACACGACCCTTCGTAAAATTAAACAACACCGCATGGTGAGAAATATTTCCTTTCAAAATAATGGTGAACTAAACAAAACTTAAAAAAAAAGGTATTAATTTCCTCCTAAACATATAACTTATCTATTTCACAGTGCATATGAAGTATGGTTAGGAATACACGACTTTGATTGTGACAGATGTTGGAAAAACTATGACGGAAGTAACCTTACGTTTTTTGACTTTATGGTCGATGTAAGGAATGATGGTTGTTGGAATGATACAAATGCTTTGGCAATAATACCAAAGGAGAACTTTAATTGGCGGGAAAGACATGAAAATAACACAAATCTTGAGATGCTTTGCGAAAAGTTTATAGGTATTATGTATATCGTTGTTTTGCTGTTATTCTGCTGTCCCAATTTATGGGGAGGACCGACGACACCATCACACATTTGAAGTATGCCTATCCCGAGCATGATTGGTGTATTTGGTTTTTTTTTTTTTTTTTTTTTGTTATGTTTTATGTTGTATGTTATTGGTTATTGTCGTTTTTAATCGTTTCATTTTGTTTTCTGTATGCATTTTTTAGCTTACCATATGTATGTCTTTACCTCGCCTGTAGAACATTAAATTTAAAGTTGACTCCTCGTAATCATACTACTTTTCTAAATATATTATTTTGTACATTTTTTAAACTTTTTGTCACAAATAACATCGGATGCATTTAAAAGCTCTCGATTTTTAAAATTATTTTTAATAACAATTTTATATGAAAAAGGCACATAAAAAAACGAATATCAGGACAAAACAGTTATTTATTTTACATCTGTTGCCGAGAATATAATTAGAAAATGCAACAAGGGCTACATTTGATAGTATGCAGAAAAAGGGAAAAATAAAAATGGTAAAACTCAGATAAGAGTTAATATACAAAAAATACCCAGAACAGTATTTTGTAAATTGATCTAATTTTGCTATTGTGGCAATGACGATCGATTGGCGCACACAATTTCAATCCTGGTATCTATGATGAGTTTAATTGTACCACACATTTTTCTCTACTTGTTTATAAATTTTTATTTTGCGGGATATATAAAATTACACCTTTTCACGGGTAAAGTAAATTGCACATCTTTCTTCGTATTTTACAGATATAAACGAGACAATAACAGAAGCAAGTTGGAATCAAACAGCAAATGATAATAATTTTTATACAAGTACATCCATTGAAGGCATGCATACCACCTGGCTTATAGGTAACTACGTACAGATAAGATCAGATATTTGTAATCAAATTAAAGGACTCATGAAGAGCAAAGTAATTTATTACAATGATTTTTTATAATTAACACAAAAAATTTTTGACAATCATATAAATATGAATATAATCAAAACTTTTTAAAATATAAAGCCACACCCAGACCAGAGCCATAATCATATGTGTCAAAAAGCAGTAATAAAACAGATTATATATAATATTAACAGATAAATATTCTTAATGGGTTAAGTATAACCATATCTGTACTATATTGATAGTTTTCTGGGTTAAAAACATTTATGAATATATAATTCCAATAATTTTCAATACCTCTAAGTTTTCTTGAATACACAAAGCCAACTGAATTTGGCACTTGTGTTTAACATTCCGAAATTTTTACAAATTATCTAAATGTTATCATAGAACTCTTTTCTCAAGAGATTATAAAGGGGACATTCACATATAAAATGTTCTTCATCTTCAACTTTATCCAACGTGCATTTTTACATAACCTTTGTGATTTATCTATATAGTTTTTTTTTTTATATCTATCCGTCTCATTTTTAGGGGTTGTGCACTTATTATGATCTTGCATAGTGCTTGTCTATCTTTAAATTCTTTTAATTCCAAATAATTTTCTGTACCAAAAAAGAAATTAATTGAAAAATAATTAAAGAGTTTACTTTTATCTGATTGAACAGTATTTTCGCTAAAATCTTTCCTATAATTCAGAAAACTTTTACATAATTTATCCTTCACTATATTACATAATGGGCCAACACTTACATTTAAGTTTGATAAGTCTGGTTCTTTTATTAAAAAAAAAATTCTAGAAAACCATGTATTAATATTTTTTACATATTACTCTTTATTACAAATATTGGCATCATGTAATAACCCATCATTTGTGTTCTCTAACCTGTGAGCATATATATTCAAATTCAAATATTTTATTGGATTAAGTAAATATATTACTGATTTGATATCATCATCTTTAATCAAATTTTGGAAAATACTAAACTTCTCTCGAAGGTTTTTATATAGGGGACTATATAAAATGAAGTGCACTCCATCTTTTAATTTATCTCCGCAAGATTTGCAGAATCTTTCCGTTGCTAAAGTTTTTGGTTTACTGTATCTCCCAGTTTCATTGGCAAATGAATGTGCACCAATTCTAATTTTTGTGAGAAGTGATCTCTCATATTTTGGTATATAAAAGCTTACCTAAGCTTTTAAGTCAAATGATGAGAAAATTTTACAATGAAATCTGAGTTTACCTGCAGTGTTATGGTTTATATTAAAATCTGAGATCCAAATTTCAGATCCATAAATCATTATAGGTGAAATAAATAAGTTCAAAAGTCTAACCCATTTTTCCACTGCAATACAGTTAGAGTATGGTAATTTTGATTTTAACGCAAAATATGCCTTGTGTGCTTTATCAGCAAGATTTTCAGCTGCTATATTTAGTTTAACTTTATTGTTGAAGAATACCTATGTAATTCTGTAGCAGATTTTAATGGTTGATGTCCAAAATAAAAACAAATTCTGTCTATTTGAGATCTATTTTCGCTATTAGATAAAATCATAATCTTAGTTTTCTTGGTGTTCACGCTAAGACCCCAATCACTACAAAAGGACTGTAAGGCATCCACACAGTGCTGCAAGCCAGTAGGTGTCTCTGAGATTAAGACCAATTCATCTGCATAAAGAAGGTGATTAAAATTTATTTGATCCAGATTAACTGGATCAGTTAAAATGGGGTTAAAAATAGGAATCTAGGGAAACATTATTACTTTTTGTACATTCAGGATCCTCAGTCATTTTGCGGACGCCATCACGAGTTGGTTGACCGTTATGGAATATCTGTTTCAGAGATGACAACGGATATGTTCAAATTGTCGTAACTACAAAATCACCGGTTTATACTTACATGAGCAACACGACGGGTGCCACATGTGGAGCAGGATCTGCTTACCCTTCCGGAGCACCTGAGACCACCCCTAGTTTTTGGTGGGATTCGTGTTGCTCAGTCTTTGGTTTTCTATGTTGTTTGTCTGTTTGTCTTTTTCTTTTTTAGCCATGGCGTTGTCAGTTTATTTTCGACATATGAGTTTGAATGTCCTTTTGGTATACTCGCCTCTCTTTTTCTCTCTCATGAACTTCCTATTGAATCTGGGAGGTAGAATAATGTACCAAGAGAAAATCGATATTGTAAACTTTGCAATTCAGGAGATATTGGTGATGAATTTCACTATATTTTAAAATGTTCGCAATTTAATGATGAAAATTTTTGAAACCTTATTATCGAAATAGACCAAACATATTGAAATTTCATGATTTAACTAGAAACATCAGTATGCTGAACAATTTGTGCAAATTTATCAGACTGATTAACAAACGACTGGACTTTTAGGGGTAACCTTGTTAAATAACATTTATATTATATTGTATTCATACATTATGTTTTTTTTTTAAATAAGCTGGAATTTCATTCTTTTTCAACAACTGTAGATCGTACATTTGTCTTATTTACTGACCATTTGTTATACTATAAATGTTTATATTATCTCTGTACCATGGATGAGAAAAAAGATATATATGTCAGCAACAATAGTATTAAATAGGGTAGGGCTAAGGCTATCCCCCTGTTTGACCCCCAAATTATCCTGGAATGATTCACTTATGAAACCATCAGTTTTACAACAATATAATGTATTACTATACATATGTTGTAGGGTTGTGGGTCCAAAATATACCATCAGATACGAATATCAGTTCATATGTTCTTTATTCTTGTTAATACACATAAAAGGATTTGACTGAAATACAAAAATAAACGAAACATCAACACTTCACCATAACATAATAGACACATTGACAGCAAAAACACATAAACATAAAATCTTGAATCGTACTTTTAATAATACTTTCTTATAGTAAACATGTGATTATATTTTATTTATTTAACACAGACAACAAAATATATGTCTTACACCAGGTCTATATGTATCTATATTAAACATTTTTATGTTTTCTCTATTCAAAATTTACAGTCAAAATACTCTTATTATAGTTTACTAAGAAACTTCTATTAAATACACATATTCTTTGACTCATATAATTTTATTATTGCAAACATACCGTATTGGCTGACCTTTGTATTCTAATATAAAATTAGCTTCAACCACATTCGATAACAACAAAAATAAGGGCCCCCCCTCTACTGTGGATAGTAAAAAACGCTTGCATACATGAAAATGTCGATTTCAAATAAGACAAGATAACCAACTTTGGTCGTAACATACCGGTGGACCTAAGTGATTTAAAAAAATGTCAAAATTTTCAAAAAATATATATATACACACATTTACAAGTCTGTCTTATCAATGTTATGAATTAATTAATAATCAATGTCCATATCAGCTTCCAGAATTAAACACAGTTTTCCAAATGATCTGGTCAATACAGTAGAAGCAGTTTTCACCTTCGCTTCTCGTACTGTTCCAAATTTGTCCGTAATGACTTCCAAAAAAAAAAAAGAATGGCCAACGTAGATACAAGTATCTTGTCTTAGGGAGGGATAAATCGTACTTTGTAAAAATTCACTCTGATTCAAACAAAAAATTCTCTGAAACTGACATTATCAAGATGCTTGATTTCTTAATTGACAACATATTTGTTACGTTTGGAGGACGTGTTTTTCAACAAACAATCGGCATTCCTTTAGCAACCAACTGTGATTCTCTTCTTGCCGACTTGTTCCTTTATTCATATGAGGCTGACTTAATACAAGAGCTTCTTAGAAAGAAAGAAAAGAAGTTAGCACTATCCTTTAACTTCACTTTCCGCTATATAGATGATGTCCTTTCACTAAATAACTCAAAATTTGGTGACTTTGTTGAACCCATCGAACTTATGATAAAGGATACAACAGATACAGTGAAGTCTGCCTCATATCTTGACTTACATCTAGAAATTGACAATGAGAGCCGAAACTTTACGACAAAAGTAATGATTTCAACTTCCCAATTGTGAACTTTTCATTTCTATGTAGCAACATTTAAGCAGCGCCTGCATACGGAGTTTATATCTCCCAGTTGATGCGATATTTCAGGGCTTGTATTTCCTGTTATGATTTCCTTGATAGAGGGTTGCTGCTCACAAGGCAGCTATTAAACCAAGGGTTCCAAGTGGTGAAGTTGAAGTCATCCCTTCGTAAATTTTACGGACGCCATCACGAGTTGGTTGACCGTTATGTAATATCCGTTTCACTGATGATAGCGGATATGTTCCAATTGTCGTAACAATCCCGTCCCCCTTTCCTCGAATGTGACCTACCGAATTAGACTTATTACCGGGTTTGTACTAACACGAGCAACACGACGGGTGCCACATATGGAGCAGGATCTGCTTACCCTTCCGGAGCACCTGAGATCACCCCCAGTTTTTTGGGGGGTTCGTGTTGCTCTGTCTTTAGTTTTCTATGTTGTGTTTTGTGTACTGTTGTTTGTCTGTTTGTCTGTTGGTCTTTTTTCTTTTTTAGCCATGGCGTTGTGAGTTTATTTTTGATTATGAGTTTGAATGTCCCTTTGGTATCTTTCGCTTCTCTTTTCCAAAACTCGTCCCATTGTCCATGAATTTCTCGGAGTGTTTTCAACAATAAAAACAAAATCATTGATTTTAAGATTCCTTTCTTTCTTATTCCATTTGGCTCGTTCTCTGTTGTAATAAATGTAAGTATTCTTAAGTCCATCGATTCCAGAACAAGTCTGATAAATATTGCACTTGGCGCCCACTTCTTCGAACATAATTGTCCGATTTAACGAACGTACTGGGAGGTGCACATTCTCCTGAACGAAGAAGCAGAAGATCATTCGGCGTTAAAACGTTCAAGTCATTCACACTGTTGGGTACTCCTGTGATACGACGACCATTTAATATAGCTTCAACTTCACAAAACAATGTTTGTAAGTTTTCGTCATCCAAACGCAACTT